CTAGAAACATGATTTTCTTTGGATGGTATGAAATCATGAAACTTAGAAGAGTTAAAATTCCTTGTAGGAGCATCTTGGAACCAATTCCAAAATGATGTGGCATGTATACATTGAAATATCATCACACGTGTCCTTCTTTTTCTAACATCCTACCTTATATCTACCCCTAACCTCCTTTGGACTCTAGACAAGTTTGGCCAAACTTCAGGTTTGATAGTCAATCTCCAAAAATCCATGGCCCTTAATACTTCCTTATCAGATGATCATTGTACGCAACTACACAAGGTTCTGTCATTTTCCTGGTCCCCACATCATGTCTCCTATCTAGGTATCAAACTCGCAGCAAATTCATCAAACCTCTTTATTGCTAATTACCCCCTCATACTCTTCCACCTCACAGCATTAATATCCTCCTGGTCCTCCTTACCCCTCTCCTGGTTAGGACAAATCACAGCAATTAAAATGTCAGTACTTTCAACATTGTATCAATGCTTTCATCTGGGACAAACGCATACCTTGTCTACCTAAATCAACGCTCTACGCCCCAAAACTTAGGGATGGCTTGGGCTTATCCAACATCTCCAAATACTACCAAGCAACACAGCTCGCCCACCTCCTCAAATACCATTCCACCAGAAGTACCTCTCTGGGTCGCCCTGGAATCGGTCAACTGCGACCCCCTATTGGTGGCTAATCTTTTGTGGCTTACCCACTGCCGCCATCTCACTAACCCTATCACACGTCACGGCCTTGCTCTTTGGGACAGCAAGAGACGGCACATTTCTGGAGCGAGTGTGGAATAACAGCACAGTATTGAACAGATCACGGGAGCGCAAGCTGTCATAACATTTCTGGATCGGATGCGGGAAGCACAACACAGCATTGAAAAGAGCGCGGGAGCTACTGGGGTTAACTTTGTAAGTTAACCAGTGGCTGATTGGAAGCAGTCCTAGCAGCCAATCACCTGCTGAGTAATACATAAAATGAACCCCCACAGCTCCCGTGCTTTATTCAATGCTGTGCTGTGTGCATGTGGTGGTGGTGGTGTGGGGGTAGGGGTGATGTAAAGGTTGGAGGGTGATGTAAAGGGGGCAGTGCTGTGAAGGGGTGATGTAAAGAAAAAAATTCCACTACATGTATATTAATTGGTTTGTGTAAAAGTTATAGCATCTACAAACTATGGTGTATATATATTGGAATTTACGAAGCGTTTACTTTCTGACTGCCTATCACATTTCTTGAGGTGCTAAAATACCAGGGCAGTAAACCCCCCAAATGACCCCTTTTAGTAAACACCTCAAGGATTTTGCAGAGAGGCCTGTTGAGTTCCTGGAACATTTTATTTTTCTACACAAATTTTTCAAAAATTAAATTTTTTTTTTTTTCTTACACAAAGTGGTTACTTTAATGACATATGCTCATGCATGCCATGGGTATATGTGGAATAACACCCAAAAACACATTCTCCTGCTGTCTCCCAAAGTATGAGAATACCCCATGTGAATTTTTTACGAAGCCTAGCTTTACTTTCTGACTGCTTTCATCATATTTCTTGAGGTGCTAAAATACCTATCACCAGGGCAGTAAAAACCCCCCCCCCCATGACCCCTTTTTGGAAAGTAGATACCTCAATGATTTTGATAGAGAGGTATGTTGAGTTTTTACAGATAACATTTTTTTTTTTACAAGAAAATTTTTTTAGAACTGTAATGCACAAAAACACAATTTTGCCCAATTTTTGATAAAATATAAAAGATGATGTTACACCAAGTAAATAGATACCAAACATGACATGCTTTAAAATTGTTACCCCGTTAATGACAAATTACATCATGCATGCCATGGGCGATATTTTGGAATAACACCCAAAAAACACATTCTGCTGCTTACTCCCAATCTATGAGAATACCACATGCATGTGCAACCACTGAGGCTTTTTAGCGCGCAGCCTAGCTTGACTTACAGGCCCCATTTTTTTTTTTTTTTTTCAAAATCCAATGACCACCTCCAGGCTTTCAAAGGGCATATTTCCTCATATCACTTCACCACTACCTATCACAAGATCAGTTTCGGAGGCCCTAAAATGCCAGAATAGTACAAACACCCCCCCCCATTACCCCTTTTTGAAAAGTAGATACCCAAATGAATTTGATAAGAGGTATGGGGAGTAGTTTTTGTACAGATAACATTTTTTGTCACAGGGTTTTGAACAAGAAAATACACTTTTTAGAACTGTAATGCACAAAAACACAATATATTGCCCAAGAGCAGTTTGATAAAATAATCGGGTCTAAAAAGATGATTTTACACCAAGTAAATGATACCATGATTACCCAAAAATGACATGCTTTAAAATTGTGCATGCCCCGTGCAATGGCGACAAAGTACAAACAATTTTAATGTTAATTTAGGCGATGTTTTAAAAGCCTTTACAGGTCACCAATTTAATATTTACACAGGAGGTGTAGTGCTAGAATTACTGCCCTCGATCTGATGTTCGCAGCAATACCTCACATGCATGGTGAAAAAATTCTATATACTGACACTCACATGCTGTGACAGGTATAATTAAAGGGTTAAAACCAGGGTGATTATACATACTGGCACAAGGTCAATGCTTGCGCACGCAGGTGCGCGCAAAGGTCCTTTTTTTATTTTGATTTTTTTTTCTTATTTTTTACTGTCCCTTTCATTGGGGGGTGATTTAGGGATTTTTTTTTTTCACTTTGCTTGGCAGGAGAAATAAAGATCATTTCTCCTGCTATGCAAAGCTTGCTGTCATGAACCTAACTCATTCATGAACTGTTTTTGACATCTCAAGATAGTGATCTGTGATTGGCTGGAGTTGGTCACATGGCACAGGTTGCTGTGATTGGCCCCATGTATCATGTGACAGCTGTGGGCCAATCACAACTCACTAGGAAGAGAAGCAGAGCTGTAATGAATGAAATTAATTCATAACAGCTTTGCTTTCATTCTGATCATGTGATGGCATAGCGATCACAAGATCACCGGGATCTTCATTCAGCTGTTGGGGGGGGGGGGGGGGAAGCATCCCCCTGTGCTAGTACAGGCAGAGAGATGTATGGGTACGTCGCTTTTCCTGTAGCTGCTGCCTGGCCGCAATACATTGCGTGTGGGAAGTGGTTAATCACTTACTTGCATACATTTTAAGCAAATGCACCAAAAATGCATGAACGCCAGAACACACATGCACTTTTTCAAAAATCGCACTACACCATGTTGCATTGTTGTGAATGGGCCATAGAGAACAACGTAGTTTCTATTGTTGTGCATTTTAGAACTCTGGCAGATGCAAGACAAATCATACTAGTGCAAACAGGGGTTGAGAAAAAATTTCTAGCGACAAACATTGCAGCCCACACTATGTAACTTTATTGATACAATTACTTTGATACATTGATATAAATGGTACACAAAAGATGAAGTCAAACAATTATGTTAAGACTGTAAATTAAGAAAAAAAAAAAAATACAAATTACAAAAATATTTCTGGAACAAAAATATATATTACTAATATGATGCATGTTCTCTAAGGTTACAATATCCTGGGCTTTACAAAGAATAAATACATAAAAAGCAATAGTATGTTTACATTTATGTAAAACCTATGTCACATTATTGTATACATTCCAAATACATTATTTTAATACTTGTGAATTGTAAGAAGCTTGTCTGACAAATACAGCTCTTTATGAATGTGTTGTGATTTTGTAAAAACAATGTATACAATTTGTATTTTAGTCACTTTTTCAGGTGTCAAAATGTTTAGTAATTTGTTGCATATTACTTCAACTACTACATGTAAGCTGAATTTTTTATAACTTTTTAAGAAATTCTTGTATGAAGTATGGTTCACGTCATATGAACCCCGTTTCATGCAGTAAAAAACACAAACTTGAGTCTATCATAAATAGAAAAATATTATAATTCAAATAATAGGTAATGACTGCACAAATACTATATAAAAAACAATGCACATTTCTGCACAAAATCATGTTGAACTGTTAAGTGTTTTTGCTCCAATTGACCCTGTGTGCACACCACCACCAAACCTACTGACCTTCATTAAATTTAATTTTAGTAGACAGGATGAACTGAATCATTTACTAGCTCCTTATACCTCTTGCTTGTGAGTAAACAGACTGGGACTCACTGCTGCTTAATTTCCTCAGCTGTTCGTGCAGGCATGGTGCCCGCTAGTGGCTTCTGCACATCATCCACCAGATATGGATGAATATTCGTGGCAGACTTTTTCAGAGTAATAGATAACCTTTGTCTCACTTAAAAAACTCCATAGTTAGGCCCAACGCTTACGCATTTCTGCCTAGTATGGGCCTTACTCATAGCATTTGCTATGACTAAGGCCCATTACTGGGCAGCAATGTGTAAGCCTTGGAACCAATTATGAAATTTACAAATTGTGACAAATAAAGGTCATCTTTTATCCTGAAGACATGTGCCAAAAATATACTTCAGTTCCCTACGCTACTCTTTCTTGGGTTGAGAGGTATCCAGTCATTAGCTGATTATCACTCAGTCGCACAGATTTTGGCCCAACTTGTTAACTCTCCTATGGATACCAGAAGATTATCACAAACATCCGTGTCTGTCTAGTTTTTGGAATAATAGCACTGTCACACTGAATTTATGGAACATATTGCTTTCTTCGTCACAGGTAAAGCTGGAACTGGGAATATCTTCATATTCTCTACCCTCTCCATCCTCCAAATCCACAACTATGCATAACCAGGCAAACACTTTTTTTTGGGTGGTTGGACCATATCCACAAATCCAACCATCTTTGATGTAGATGACTTTATTGTTCAAATGACAGTCACACCTCCTGATGCTACAGTCTCTGTAAAACACAGGGAGAGTGGCACAACCCTATAATAGCTGCAAGAGGTGGGTGGAGAAGCAATTAAAATAGAAGGAACTTTTCACTGGTGTCTCTTCTAAATGATGTTGTAACAAAGGCAGGGGCAGACTTACAACTCATGGGGCCCACGGGCAATATGAGGATCATGGGCCCCTGTGTCCTTGCCCAAACGCAAAATATGAAAAAAGGTACCAGGGGCATCTCATGGGGCCCCCTACTGACCCCGGGCCCTCGGGCAGTGCCCGAGTTTCCAAACGGTCAGTCCGCCCCTGAAGGTCTGATGGATCATTGCACACTAACATTTATTTAACTAACATGAACACACTACCAAATTGTAATTTAACCTTAGACTTCATTAAAAAGACATATGTAAACATTTAACCTCTTGCTAACCACGTAATGCATTTATGCTGTGCCAGGAAAAGTGAGTTTTAGGTCCCAGCCACCACACACACATGCGTCTATGCTGATCTGAGGTTGTGAGTAGAGAGTGAGTTCACAGCACAGACCAGTCACAGCTTCCGATTGGGAGCCAGTAGGTCAGTGATGTGAAAGCCAAGCACTGCCATTATGTGAAAGAGCCCAGGCCGCCTCCTGCCATTAAAGTCCACTTTAAAAGGGTCATTGGGAGGCAGCATGAAGGAATAAAATATAAAAACCCTGTTAAATATTAGTATTCCTTGATGGCATGATTGTTTATGCACTTGATGGCACAATTTCTTGGAGAATAACATCTTAACATAAAATCTGAAGGAAAAGTATAGGCAGGGACAGAAATGCTTGTGACAGCTTATGGCTGAACTCTGGGCATTATCTTTTTTTTTTTGTAATGTACATTTGTCAATTTTGGTTATACCAACATCTGCTATATAGCCTTCATCCAATGGGGATGCAGAAATTCACTGGTAGCCTGTGCTACATACAGTCAGCATTGGCCTTTTCTGGGTGCTACTTGTGCTCCTTACCCTTTGTATATTAAACACAGAGTTACTCACTTGGCACCTCCACCACTGAGTGCATATTTGTGTTCACACAAGCACTGGCATACACCCAAGTACAGCCATTCAGATGTGTACATAGCACTTGGGCTTTCGGGGCAGTGTAAATACACAGGAATTAAAATTGCATGGGCTAAGGTGCCCATGTGCCTAACATTTTCAATTTACAATGTATTCAAGTACAAAATTGCTTACCCTAGTGGTCCTAATTTTAAAAAAATAATGCCCTTCAAAATCTGAGGTTAAAAACACATTTGATTAAAAAAGAAAACACAGCTGAAATTGGGAAAAAATAGCCTCCCATTCCCAGTTTATCCATCATGTCCCAGGCACTAATGGGCACAAGTATTTCAAGATAACTTCATCCAAAACCTGTATTTCAGTTTTATTTGTGCAAATACCTCACTGGTTCAGTACCCAAAACTTATAAAAAAAAACAAGCAGAGGATTCACCTTGCCAGCACTTGCACAAAACTGGAAAATGAGTTTGGGTGGAAGTGATCTTCAACATAATGTAAGTTATTACTTTAATACAGTATTTATAATGCATTAAAAAAGTGTATTTTGATACAATATATACAGACATAGCAAAGTTAAAATGTGCAGCTTATGAACTCTATTCACATTTTTGACAAATATGTAAGGTGACACAGTGAGTGTATCAACTTTAAAAAGATGATTTGATGTGTGCCTTTATGTACAGGCAAGTATTTGAAGTGTATAAAATATTTAGCTTTGATGTGTTGTCCAATACATTACAAATAGACAATTGGACTGATGATTTTCACTGCTATGAAATTGTTACACCGACAAATTCTTTCCGGTTGGGACTTTCTTTTCAGCTGTACCTGGCACCTAAGAGGTGATACATCAATCTGTTTCCTAATATACATGAATGTGAAATATTTATAGCCCCATAACCTGATAGGACACTTGAGGCACAACTCACTAAGCCAGACCCATCAAACAGCCATATTAATCTTCAAGGATCACATTATGTAAAGTGAGATCCATATTTTACTCCAAATTATGGCAATTTGATACTGAACATTTTTGTAAAAAAGTGCAACTTAGTTTTTGTTCCCAAGAAAATGGGCAATAAAACAATTTCTGAAGACCTAAAAATGATGTATGACTGCAATTAAAATAAAAAAAACTCCCTATAGAAAAGCACTAAGCTACAGCAAGTGTCATTTATTTAGACACACTAATATACTGAATTCAAACTCCAGCTCACACCGCAGTTAGAAAGAGGTTTTTTTTTTTCTTTTGGGATAGAAGTTTTACATGAATAAAAACCTGATCGCTGTAAGCGCAGTCAGTGGTAAACGAGTTTTTTCTACCACTCTAAGGCCCCTTGCAGATGGGTATCATAATTACTGATGTTTACTCAGGAGCTTGTTGACAGACAGTCCCTGAGTAAAAAAAAAAAAAAAAAAAATTAAACTGTGTAAAGACCTGAGTAATGTTGCGTATAAGCGAGTACAGGTGCATACGCATACAGATGAGTAAAATTCTTCATTGCTAGTGTTGTATTATACTCACGTAAACATGCTTATAGACAAACATGCATATGAGAGTAAATGACTGCACTCAAATGAAACATTTTTATTTTTTGGCTCTGAAGTCAACATTCTATTAACAATAAATCTCATTTCAGATCAGTAAAAAAAAAAAAACTTCCTGCCTGATACATTTGCAGGAGAGCTTGCTCTTTTGAAAAATAACAGACTTACTTGCAAGACTACCAGATGAAAATAAAAGGCAAGAGACTAAAAAACAAATAAAAAAACTAATCCAGCCACCACATCTAAGAATTGGGAAGCTGCAATATAATAAAATATTTGCTTTTGGGTTTAATACTGCTTTTAATTCAACACTTTATCCTAAATAGGCAAAACGATGGTTGCTTTAACCGTTTCAATACCGTGCAATTTTACACCTTCCTGCCCAGGCCAGTTTTCGGGTTTCAGCGCTCTCACACTTTGAATGACAATTGCGCGGTCATACAACATTGTACCCAAACTAAAATTTGATCATTTTCTTCACACAACTAGAGCTTTCTTTTGGTGGTATTTAATCACCGCTGGGGTTTTTATTTTTTGCTAAATTAACAAAAAAAGACCAAAAATTTTGAAAAAAAACCACATTTTTCTTTGTTTCTGTTATAAAAGTTTACAAATAAATAATTGTTCTTCATAAATTTAGGCCGAGATGTATTCTGCTACATGTCTTTGGTGAAAATAACCCAAATTAGGATGTATTATTTAGTTTGTAGGAAAGTTATAGAGTTCACAAACTATGGTATAGATCTGAATATTGATCAATCCTGAAGTACTGACAGCCAATCTAATATCTTGAGGTCCAAGAATGTCAGAACAGTACAGATATCCCCCAAATGACCCCTTTTTGCAGAGTAGACAGTCCGACGTACTTCATAAGAGGCATGGCGAGTTTTTTGAAGTTGTATTTTTTTGTCATAATTTTTCGGAAAATGAAAAAATGAAAAAAATTATTTTCACTATTTTTTTTTTTACATACTGTCACCAGTGCAGTACAGCGTCATCATATAACTGGCATGGCAGTGAACAGCGACACTGACTGGTGACAGTATGGAAAAAAAATATTTTTTTTATTTTTTTTTTATTATATTTAATTTTTTATTACATTTTTTTATTTTTTTTAAATTTTTTTTCATATTTTACTATGACCAAAATAGTACAATGTTACCATAGTAACACTGTACTACTTTGGGGAAGTGATCAGTATTTTTTTTTTTTTTTTTTTTACACAATTTGCTTATAGCAAAGAATTACTTTGCTATAAGCAAGCATTTACCTGAATGAAATCGATTCATTCAGCTTTTTTTTTTTTTTTTTGTGCTTAGCTGTGATTTGGTCACAGCTAATCACATGACATGTGCATGTGATTAGCTGTGACCATTCACAGCTAGGCACTAGTATACCATTGGATGGCATCATGAATGAAGCCATCCATTGTATACAACTGTCATGTGACCTGCTGTGATTGGTCACAGCAGGTCACATGGTACCGGCAACGGGAGCCGGTACTCGGATCTGTCATCGGCCGTGTCCGAGGTGCACGCGCGGTGACAGATCGCACTGCTGCGTCACTCTGCAACCGTGCATGTGCGGGAGCACGCCAAATGGCGTGCACCCGGAAAGCTGCAGCGCATTTCAAGCTGCCAAACGGCCATTGGGCGGGCGGCTAATGGTTAAAGTGGATGAAGAGCCTAAATAGATCTAATCTTCAAAATGTTGCCCTTTCCCTCCTCCTACCTATCCTGCATTTAAAAAGGGACCTTTATATTTAGATGTTTTTAATCCACGCCTGTGATCCTGCAACACCTTTCTGCCTAGCCTATAGCAGATTGACGGCCGGGTGGGACACTCTGCCTTCTGAGTAATATGATGTCCTGTCAGAAGGTGCTGCTCACGCAGCCCTCAAGCTCTGTCTCCTGCTGTGTCCACGGGACACCGCCAATGAGAGATCACGTCTCTGGCCCGCTGTCAGTGTCATGTGACCAATTACAGATCACTTGACAATTGTATACAATGGATAGCTTCCTTTCATACCATCTATTGTATACAATTGTGTTATTAGCTGTGATTGGTCAAAGCAGTCACATGGTACAGACAGGGCCACTCATAGCCCATCTGTATCATGTGATGAGCTTTGCCCAATCACAACAAAAGACTGAATTAATCAGTTTTATTCAGTAACAATGGCTGCTAATATCAATTAAATACATTGGTATTAGCAATCATAATGTGTACAAAAAAAAAAAAAAATAAATATATACCCTGATCACTTGCCCAGAGTAGTACAACGTTACTATGGTAACATTGTAGTGCGCTGGTCAGTGTGTTGAAAAAAAAAAATAGTAAAAAAGGAAAAAAAAATTGAAAAACAAGTTTTTGTTTTTTTACATACTGTCACCAGTGTCCCTGATCACTGCCACACCAGTTGTATAAGAATGCTGTATTGGACTGGTGACAATGTGATAAAGTTTTTTTTTTTTTTGTTAATTTTGTTTTCCAAACATTTGTAACTAAAAATTACAACTTCAAAAAAAATCACCATGTCTCTTACAAAATACCTTGGGCTGTCTATTTTCCAAAAATGGGTAGTTTCAGGGGTATTTGTACTATGCTGGAGTTTTCAGGCCACAGTTAGATTGGCTGATAGTACATCAGGATTGATCGATTGTCAGATATATATCTCATAGTTTGTAGACTCTAACTTTCCTACA